TAGATGTGAAACCTCCATCAAATGAATTATATAGAGATGAAAGTCCATTATATCGAGGGTCTGTTAGATGTGAAACCTCCATCTAATGAACTATATAGAGATGAAAGTCCATTATATCGAGGGTCCGTTAGATGTGAAACCTCCATCTAATGAATTATATAGAGATGAAAGTCCATTATATCGAGGGTCTGTTAGATGTGAAACCTCCATCCAATGAACTATATAGAGATGAAAGTCCATTATATCGAGGGTCTGTTAGATGTGAAACCTCCATCTAATGAACTTTATAGAGATGAAAGTCCATTATATCGAAGGTCCGTTAGATGTGAAACCTCCATCCAATGAACTATATAGAGATGAAAGTCCATTATATCGAAGGCCCGTTAGACGTGAAACCTCCATCTAATGAATTATATAGAGATGAAAGTCCATTATATCGAGGGTCCGTTAGATGTGAAACCTCCATCTAATGAACTATATAGAGATGAAAGTCCATTATATCGAAGGTCCGTTAGACGTGAAACCTCCATCTAATGAATTATATAGAGATGAAAGTCCATTATATCGAGGGTCCGTTAGATGTGAAACCTCCATCTAATGAACTATATAGAGATGAAAGTCTGTTATATGAAGGTTTCACTATAACAAACATTCTACCATATCCCCCCCCACCATATTGAAGGCATCTCACTTCACACACCCCAACAGCACGTACAACAGATAGCCCCGTACATAACTAACTGATAACAACTATTTACACCAACCATGAGATCCCTGACACCTGTTTCAGTGACGTCGTTTGGTCGTTAGAGTGAATAAAACCGAACCATAGTTGCGTGTTGTTATTTTTTTCCAAGTCGAGGAGGAAAATGTTGACACCATTGAGGAGTTTCGATGAAATTCCCTTTTATGGCGACTAACCCCCAGACCCGTTTATTATCAAGGTACCATATTTAGTCTTAGGGTGAAATAAGCTGCGTTTTAGTTAGGTTAGTGTTAGGTTAGGTTGGGTAGGGTAGGTTAGGTTGGGTAGGGTAGGTTAGCAAGGGTAGGTCAGTTTAGGTTAGGTTACAACACAAGATTCAAGAGACATATCCCGTGTTCCCACCAATTACGACTCCAGGGACAGATGCTTATCAGCCAGACGTTGACACACACGCACACACAGACACACACACACTTATCAAACGTCAAAATGCTACTAATTAAATCTTTATTTCTCTCCTCTCCAATATATAAACTGTTTTACATTTAGATTATTGTATATCACATGAAAATTAGCCACCCTAGTTTATTTTACCTGATGCTAACTGTGGGAGGAGGAGGCTAGGTTAGGGTGGGAAGGTTATGTTAGGTGGAGTTAGTTAAGGTGATAAGGTCAGGGTTAAAATTATCATGGTTCGGTTTTGTTAGGTTAAGTTAAAGATAGCATGGTGAAGTTAAGTTAGAGTTAGCATGGTTAGGTTAAGTTAGGTTAGGGTAGTCACAGAATACCATCTCGTAAAGCGACTGCAGCATTATATAACTCTCGTGAATACAAATCAAAACCCAGCCTGCGTTCGTACCTACAAGAATTATATTAACCAACAGAACAGGTAAAATAAAGGTGCTTGTTTATATAAGACTTTTAATTAACCTTATTTACCTAGAGTACTGTTAGAGTGGAGGACTGTGGTCGCCAACCCTCAGCCATGAAGACGGTACTCTAATTAAAGGTATATACTTAGTTTAAATAGACAGTATATAGCCTAAACACATTTAATCACCTTCAGTATATATAAAGATTCATTTATGGCAAGATGGAGGTGTATACAGTACTTTGTATTAAAAAAATGTAAATTAATTCTTCTATACCACCAGCAGAGTACAGTACAGTAGTCAGTTATTTATTGTGTAAAGTTAAGGTACTAAACTTTCCTTAAAATACTGTAATTAATTTGTATATATCCCCAGCACAGTACAGTAGAGTCAGTCATTTATGTACAGTTAAGGTACTAAACTTTCCTTAAAATACTGTACTAATTCTTATACACCCAGCACAGTACAATACCGTAGAGTCAGTCATTTATGTAAAGGTACAAAACTTTCCTTAAAATACTCTAATTAATCCTTATATACAGTACACCCAGCAGAATACAATACCGTAGAATCAATCTCACCTCCGTAAAGTTAAGATACAAAACTTTCCTTAAAATACTCTACTTAATCCTTATATACCCCCAGCACAGTACAATACCGTAGAGTCAGTCATTTATGTAAAGTTAAGGCATCGTACTTTGTTATTAAAATACTCTTATCACATGTCACTTACTCCAAACATAAAAGACACTCAGTAGTAATCAGAGGTGATAAGATGCAGCATCCCACGTATGCTATCAGCCGTTGAGTTAAGTAAGCATACAGCATACGGTGAGACCTCCATACAACGGACTTCTATCTCCGTATAATCTGCTATGGGGGCGTCAGGTCTAATGGGCCCTCGATATAATTTTCACTTCCTCTCAATTAACTCCCATAGATAGGGGTATCACATGCTGAACTGTATACCTGCATTGTCTATATACATACTGAACTGTATACACATTGATCTGTATACCATACCTGGATTGTCTATACACGTACTAATCTGTATACCTGTACTATACAACTATACAAAATACCTTTATAATTAATTACAATCTATTAAAACCTCCAGCATAACATTATAACCACCACTGTATTCTAAATAACAAGATACAATACAGTAATACAGTATTTCTAAATTATCTATATGACCTGTAACTATAACATATATACTGTACTTACTGTAACCTGATATAACATGATAAAGTGGCTTATATATCACACACCCTATCCACATTTATAAGATATATTAAAGAAATTTTTTTATATTCTAGTTGAGTATTTTTCAAGTTCTTCGTCGACTTCTGTAGATGCTATTTATATCACACACACACACAGTCAGCTAGAGAAGGTACAGAAAAGGGCCTGCAGAATCACGCTCGGCGCAGACTACTCCGGCTACATCAACGCTCTCTCCACCCTGGAAATGCCATCCCTCAGTGACCTCCACCACCAAGCACTATCAAGGCTTGGCAGTGGACTACTGCACCATCCTCGTCATTGCCACCGGCAGTCCCCCACCCACCTAGCGCAGTCCGCCACTACAACAAAATTCAGCCCATAAGAGCCCGCACTGATAGATATAAGAATAGCACCATCCCATCTACTGTTAAAATAATAAACAACTCCTGATTTATGTACTGTACAGCCCTGTAAATGTATTTAACGCATATCATTATGTCTAAATCAAATGTAAGTTTGTATATTTTCAGCCACCAGCTGCTACTCTATTAGTAAACAGTTTATTATTATTATTATTATTATTATTATTATTATTATTATTATTATTATACACACACACCAAAACTCTCGACAAGTCAAAAATAAATAAATAAATAAAATAAGAGCGAAATCACAAATAATAATCACATCCACAAGACATTAAAATTATCCGACTGAAATAAAAAAACGTGACAATTATTAGTTTATTTAATATTTCGAATGAGTTACATTGTTGATTCTCGTTCGTGAGTTCATTTAAATCGTCAAACGGGCTTACAGACGTGTTTGTTTGTATATCTGATTTTTCGTAAGTCAAAAATGTTTGTACGTATAGAAATCCCAGTCGAGTCACGATTACCCTAAAGCCCGGATTACTTGCCCGAGATATTTACTTACTACAGCTATCGTATTAAATTTCATCGTAGTTTTTTTATCCAACATTTTAACCACTCATATATGGGGTCTTCTCCAAGCTGAATTAAAATCGTCCGGCATTGGATAAACAAAAAAAAAAGAAATAAACAAAATAAAACTACCATGCATAAGTCAATCGGTAAAATGGTATTCCATCTCTACCGCGACGCTGGTGAACTAATCATCGCATTTCCTGTAGATCTCAGTATAGGGTCGTCGATTTCTTCCCTATTCACCCAACAACCATAGTTCCAGAATCTATCTCGTCAAAATTCATAAACGGAGATTGTTCAATTTTTCACGCAGCACGTTTTACTTCCTCTAAAAACACAAAAATATCGCCAACGCACACGTCAACACTCGCAGTCGATACATTTACACTTAACTGAATTCCCCGATGTATGATGCAAATATATGATAGTTCGTTAATCCCTTGTGTATGGCGGGTCGCCTCTGAGCTGAATAGTTGTAGTAAAATATGTATACTAGAGTTTGTTTTTCATTATGTTAAATTTTTGTTAATTATCAAAGGACTTAAGACCATAAATAAACAGTACATTATTAACATTAATCTCTGGGTAGAATTATCGTTTGTCATGCACATAATTTTAACCAAATCTAAACCTAATCCAACCTAACCTAATATAACCTAACCTAACCCAAGCTAATTTAACTTAACCCAAGCTAATTTAACCTAGCCCAAGTCAACCTAAACTTAAAATCCTTAAATTCGCTGCATGACCCAAACGGTAATAATACAACTTTGTCTATATTAAAAAGGTGAAATATCATGAAAGGTTAAAAATGGCGACTGATTATAAAAAAAAATAAGATATGAATTATACAGAAGATGTCATCGACCTCAGCCAATGATAAATCACGTCGGATAAACAGCGGTAGTAAATAAACATTCCGGGCGGACAATTAACAGTTATGTGCCGTTAAACTTGATATTTGTCTGAAGATAAACATTATAGATCATAACAAATAAGTATAGAGAGGTAATAAAAGACATGTCATCATGGACAGTGTGACAGCTGACAGGACGGCTGACAGCTGACCCTTGATGATGACTGACAACTCCAGACGTCACACAACAACAGTTTATCACCGTCGTTGTCCGGTATCGTTAGTTTAGGTCACATACCACTGGTTTACTGTCTAGTGTACAAGACGCCAGGAGTTGTGACCAATCAGCGGCCAGCAATCAGCGTCAGGAGTGGTCGGTGTGGTGTACTCACCTACGAGAGGAGGATCTGAAGGGTCTGGCAGGGCAGCGGGCGCCGGGGCTCCCTGACGCTTCTCCCAGATGTTGACGCTTGGTGCTGGGGCCGGCACGTACTGCACCTTCTCCTCCTCCGCCTCGGCCTCCGTGTAGGGATCGGCCTCCTCTGTGGCCTCCTCTTCCCCTTCCATTGGGCCGTTGGACTGCTTGGGGGCGGCCTCCTTGACGGGTCTCTTGCCCCCGCGGCCCCGGGTGCCGCCCTCGGGGTAACGCGATTCCCATTCGACATAGTCCCTGCGACCCCCCCGCCTGTCCCTCCTGCCGCCCCTGGTGGACTCCCTCTTCCTGGCCCGGTCCTTCTTGGTCCGTATTTCGGTAAACTGGGCCAGCTCCTCAGGGTCCAGGTCCACCCCACCACACCTCGCCTCCTTACATTCACTGTTCACCACCTTGTCATCCCCGGAAGGCTTCACACTATCTCCCACAGTCTCAATTTTCCCTCCACCGACAATGCCAGCCCATGATGACGTCCCAGTCCTGTCTTTATTAACACTAGCACAGCCACCACAGTTGTCTGTCTGCGTCGCCATATTCCCCCAAGAGACACCCGACAATATTTACCCTCAAATACCTTCTCTCTCGCCTTGATTCAACAATCCTCTCTGCTAACTCAACACACTAGTCACTGACCTGCGTCATAAAGTCATTTTCAAGGCCATCAAGCCCACATCGGTGACAAAATACAGTGAAATCCATTAACCACCCCACATGCGTACTGGGAACAACATTCACGAAAGCATGGTGGAGCTGTGAGGGAGGAGCCGGGAGCCGAGACACCACCTCTCCTCCTCACCTCTTAATTTCTCTACAATTTATCTAACTCAACATATAATTACCAATTACACATAATTATATAACTTATATAGTGGTATAATCTTGTTAAATATAATTATCTTGTGTAATTAACGTTGTAATTGATATCATTAATTGATCCTTCGCAGCTCCTCGACCAGGGCTTGTTTGTGTCTCAGAAAGAGGATCCAATACTACATCAACTCCCTTTCATTCAAGTGATTCTCTTAACAACATTTTGATCCTTTAACTTTGATCCTCTTCTTATAACTGATCGAAACCTTAATGCCCTTTTAAAATCATAACCCCGATATTACGAACGTTATTCCACAAATCTCTAAATATTACTTAATCCCACTTAACCAAAACACCCATAAGAAGTATTTAATCTCATTTAATTATCAATAAAATGTTTACTGCCAATAAATACTGAAATATTAAAAAATGATTCATATTAACCGAACTTCACGACGGGGTCTCTATAAGATGAACTCCTATGTCAACAATGAAGATAATAATAATAATTAATAGCTTATTTAAAACTAATTACATAAAACAGCAATTTATTATGATTCCTTTGATTATTTTATATTGACAGATAGACAGATATACAAATAGAAACAGATAGAAAGATACTGTCGATAGTTAAGATAGACAGACAAATAGACAGACAGACAGACCAATAGACACACAGATAATTAGTAAAATAATCACACAAGCTCACACAATTACGTTTAAAATACTATATCTAATTAGTACGTCCAAAAATTATTCCATTACCGTTCATCTCCACTAAATTCCTCTTTAACAATTATGTAACAAGCTTAGTTGGGTTAACTTACGTCACAGTAATTTCAACTTATTTATAAACTGTCGACTTAATATGTATATATATATATATCTATCATTTATCAAGTGGCTGTAAATGTTGATGATTTATATAATACAAATATAAATATAATAATTTGAAAGGTATAAAATAACAAAATATATATTGGTAGATCCGTCCAAGTTTAATAACCAAAGAAATAATTTATGTACATTATACATAAAATACACCTGAAGAATAGCCCCCCCAGGTAATGATCTAACACAATGTGGGGGGGTCAGGTAAAGTCAGCATTAGGGTGTTTAATCTTCAGCTGAAATAAACTAGGGTGTCTAATCTTCAGGTGATTCTTACAAAGTCAACAAGACACATACTTTAATTCAGGCAGTATTTATCATTTTCATCAATGTTAAAAGTAATACCAATTCCAGTTATATTAAAAATGAATTTCTTAATATCAAAATAACAACTTAATTTACTTTATACATTGCATTCACCTCAAAGGATTTTTTTTTAAATCACTATTGAGGATAAATTTCAAGAATTATTATTAGCACATTACAGTACTTAATTATGCTAAGCATACTGATGTAAATTATCAATAAGGGTCAAAATCATTCAATAAAATCACTAAAATTGACTCCAATAACTAGTCTCATAATGCAGGTCATAATCCAAACTGAAAGACTTTTAACTTCCCCTAAATTCAAAGGCTAATAATGTACAAACTCTAAATCAAAAGAAGTTATCCACGGTCATTATATCAAGCATGGTTTTAATTAGTCTTTCAAATTTATAATTTGTTTCATCTTTTTCCAAACATTTATCAGTTCTTGGGCTACACACACCTGACTACACACACCTGGTCTAGTCATAGATAAGTATTAATGAAAGGAAATAGCATCATACTTTCAAATCCGTGTTGCTATTGTCATTCCAGTTTTTGTTTTCCAAATTTTTCCCGTCAAACTCACGAGCTTTGGGAACACACAAGGTCCTGTCATTAACAAACACCACAGACCTGACTCAGTACTTACATACTTTTTTGTACTTTGTATTTCTTTCAACTTTTACCTTAAATTACGGGTCCCTGGACAATACACGGGTCTTATTATACAAAACTTTTATAAACAGGTATTATCAACAAACACTGATACCTTACACTGTGTTTCTCAATATTTGTATTTTCAGGATTTTTTCTTCCCTCAAAAGGTCAGGGTAAGGGAGGGACATACTAGTATTCACAAGTATGAGTGAGGGGGAGGAAGGGTGGGACTAGAGGTAAGGGAGAGACAGACTAGTATTTACAAGTATGAGTGAGGGGGAGGGAGGGGGGCACTAGAGGTAAGGGGAGAGACTAGTATTTACAAGTATGAGGGAGGGAGGAGGGGGACTAGAGGTAAGGGAGACAGACTAAATTTACAAGTATGAGTGAGGGGGGAGGTGGGACTAGAGGTAAGGGAGAGACAGACTAGTATTTACAAGTATGAGTGAGGGGGGAGGGAGGGGGGGACTAGAGGTAAGGGAGAGACAGACTAGTATTTACAAGTATGAGTGAGGGAGGGGCAATTATAGGGGTGAATCAACCCTTAGAAGCCTTGATAGCTGAGAGTATTAGGTCTTGCCTCTTAAGAATCTCACTCTGGGTCTTGGCTATTGATTGTAGTTCCTTACCGATCTTCCTTAGGGCTCTGATCTTCATCCTCTCTCTCCTCTCCTTTCTCTTCTTGTAGTCGTCTTCATAACTCTCCTTTTCCTTGAGTTGTTCGATGTACTGTTCCATCATGGCTTGTCGTTTGGCCCCCCGTTCTATCTCCTTCCCGAGGGACGGAGACGGAACGTGGACGGTAACGGACGGCTGGAGATTGACGGATGAAGTGGATGACGGAGTGACCGGGTCCCTGTGGGCGTGGAAGGTCGTCACCGGAGCGATCATCTTGGTGAACGGCGTCGATCCCATGGCAGGAGAAAAACTCGGATCGGTAGGAAGGAATTCACTCATCACCTGTGGAGTAAAAATACAATATAAATAATAAACAAGATTAAAGACAACATCGCCATTATTGAAAAACAAAATGTCGTCATTCTTAAAAAAAATCATTAATTAAATTCTCACAACCTAAGGTATTTCGGCTTAATTAACATAATGATCGGTTACCAAATACAATAGGGTCAGTATGCCACAGACCCACGCATACCAACCCTCCCGAGACATGCATACCAACCCTCCCGAGACATGCATACCAACCCTCCCGAGACATGCATACCAACCCTCCCGAGACATGCATACCAACCCTCCCAGAGACATGCATACCAACCCTCCCGAGACATGCACATACCAGCCTCCACGGGACATGCATACCAACCCACCTCCGGGACATGCATACCAACCTCCGAGACATGCGCCACCAACCCTACGCCACCAACCCTCGAGAGCCTCCAGAGGACATGCATACCAACCCTCCCGAGACATGCATACCAACCCTCCCGAGACATGCATACCAACCCTCCCGAGACATGCATACCAACCCTCCCGAGACATGCATACCAACCCTCCCGAGACATGCATACCAACCCTCCCGGGACAGGCATACCAACCCTCCCGGGACATGACGTATTGCACGTGGCATTTTGGAAGTCACTGGCAACATCCTGGCAGATATATTTGTGAGATACTGTACTGTACATTTTATCATAGACTCTTACTATAAAAGTTGAGATATATTCCTGTAACAAATATCTTCCCCATGTTTAATAAATTGACAGTGAATGAGTTGTTAATGATAATTTTTTGGGGTGGTGATGATTTAATTGGATAACAAGTGATAAGTTTACAAAATTCAAATTAAGTATTAAATGTGCTGTATTATAAACTGGATGTCTGTACTTGATGCAAAAGGTATCTAATCTTTATGCAATACAAGAGAGTAGTAATAATAATAATAATAATAATAATAATAATAATAATAGCATCAACTCCATATAACATACTTTCATCTCTATATAGTTCATTATATGGAGGTTATACATCTAACAGACCCTCGATATAATGGACTTTCATCTCTATATAGTTCATTATATGGAGGTTATACATCTAACAGACCCTCGATATAATGGACTTTCATCTCTATATAGTTCATTATATGGAGGTTTCACATCTAACGGACCCTCGAAATAATGAATTTTCCCCTCCATATAGCCCGTTAAATAGAGGTTTTACTTGAATGAGAATAATGAGAATAATAACAACAACAATAATACAAGTTGAATCTCTCCAGTCCGGCACCCTCGTATGTGACCAGAACCGGACGATAGAATATTCTGAACTAAGGGACGCTGCCTCTCCCTACCCCTTACAGTATTAACTCTAACAAACGAAGAAATATTTATTCGATTTATGTTTTTAATCATTATTTAAGTATTTTTCATATTGTCTGGGGGATTGTATGTGCAGGTAATTAAATAAAAGTTAATTACACTCATATAATTACCGGATATTATGAGTTGAAAAATAACCATAACAGCCCATATCTCGGCCTGGTAGTAAGAAGTCTAAGGGGATGTGGCTACAGTGATGAGTCTAACATGGCAAAAATTACCACCAGCGATGTTAACAGATGCAAACAAAATGATAATTATCGGTAATTCTTCAACTGTATCGGGTTTTTTGTAGATTTAAAGAGACATATATGTGAATATGGTCGTTTATTATGTAGGAAAATAAAACAAGAATCTAGGGGTACAGTAGGCAAGCCCAGGATAAAAATTTATAAGGGTGGGTACCATTCACTGTATAAATGACTCACAGGAATGTATGAGCTTTAACCCCTCAAAATAATACCTACTGTATGAATATTTTGGATAATTTGACCTTACTTTTTGCATAATAATTCTAACTATAGATTACTGTACAGTACTCCTCTTTATCGACGGATTTTTTATCGACGGTTTCGATTATCGACGGATTATTTAGACGGATTTTTATTTTGGCTTTATTTGAACTCTGCGGGCCTTGTTTGTACTTTCGCCGCTAGGCGGCACTAGTGGCGTGACTAGCGTCTACCCGCGGCCCGCCTTCCCTGAACACAGACATCAGCCAAGCCGCGTGGGCAACAGTCTTTGATTTTCAACTTTTGCTGGTGGTTCATCACATCAACTTATATCACCATGCCTCCCAAACGACCTGCTGCTCCCTCTGGATCTACACCTAAGAGGGCAAGACGAGTGCCACACTGAATGAGAAGAAGATGCTGAAACAACTTGACAGCGGTATGAGCTACGCAGCTGACTGGTCAGGCTTTTAATAAGCCTCAATCATCACACTTGTATATACTGTACACTGTATTGTTTACTGTAAGGACCGATGTTCACTTCAATAAATGAAATCGTAAGTTTGCTAGTATTTTTGTCCACTTATTATATTATTATTTATACACTATTATTTAAGGTTATGTGTAAAGGAAACGCATTAATGCTTAAAGGTACATTTATTCAACATATGCTAATAATAGTTAGAAAAATTACGTAACCATCACGGTATCGACGGTTTCTTTATCGACGGCCGTCTACAGAACGTAACCCCCGTCGATAAAGAGGGAGTACTGTACTTGATTATATACACTACAATAAATAACCCATCGTAACATAATGTATTAGTATTGTTACATAATTTCATGGTATTAGCAATAGTAAAATATGTACCAGAAAAATAAAAAAAATAATATGACAATAAATTTTTTTGCTGGACCATGGACGGATGCTGGACCATGGAGTCTCAACCGATAGTCATAACTAGAATATGAAAATTAATAATGATGTAGGTAATAATAGCAATAATAACAGTACCGTAATAATAACAATAACACTACAACAACAACAATCATCGTACCTGATAATACTCCCAGGGCGGTTTTCTAGGAGAGTATTCCTTCTTGACTCGCTTGTACGTCCCCAGTAGATTATTCCACTTGCGTCTGATCCGCTCGAGGGAGAAGTTGTACCCGTGTAGCGTCAGTTCCTCGTGTAGGTCCCGGTAGACGTAGGGCCTCGCTCGGTTGTTGGACGACAGCTCTGTGTAACGCTTCCTGATGCCTTCGATGAGCAGTATTGTGGCTTCGTGACTGAACTCTACATCCTCTGTTGGTCGAAGGGCAAGTGTGAGAAATGATTCGTTGATGGTTTGGTTAGGTTAGGTTAGTCATTAGGTTAGGTTAGGGTAGACATTAGGTGATTTAGAAACTATGTAAAATTACTAACCTAACCTAACCTTACCAACTAAGCAGCCAACCTAAGCTAACAATCTTTCTAACTAGCCAACCAACCTAACCTAACCAACCTAAACTAATTAACCTAACCTAACTATATTCAACAAACTAACCATCCTATCCTAACTTAACTACGGTAACTAACTGAACAACTGAGTACCGTCAATACTGAGTACACATAGCTCGGTGGTTCAATCCTAACTGAACCACTGAGTACATTTAACACTGAGTACACATATGACATAATTTTGAGATATTTTCTAGGAGGTTGATCAGATCACCAGAAGATTAGTCACCACAGCTTATTTCACCTGATGATTAAACACCCAAACCTAACCTAACCCCCAAGGTAGCATTAGGATATTTAATCAACAAGTGAAGTAAGCTGGGGTGAATCCTACTCAAGCTGAGGTGAACCAGACTCAAGCTCGGATGAGTCGTACTCAAGCGCGGGTGAATTTTATAAGCTGAAGTCAACCCTAATCAAGCTCAGGTGAATCCTACTCAAACTGGGGCAAATCCTACTTAAGCTGTGGTCAATCTTATAAGCTGGGGTCTATCCTAATCAAGCTTGGGTAAATCCTAGTCAGGTTGGGGCGAATCCTATAAGCTGGGATGTATCCTACTCAAGCATTAAAACAAATTACTTAAAATCTAAATAAAAACGACAATCTTTTCACGACATACAAAATATTCCGTCATTACCCTAAACAAAATTCCTACCATAGGGAGTGAAACAGATAAACATAAAAATACAACGTCTGGTATTATTATAAATGCTCAAAAAACTATTAATAATTTCCTCCCAAAAGAAAATATATTCCCAGGTACAGAATATGAACCACCGGAATCACCTTAACTAAAAACAGCAGTAAATATTATATCACAGAATAATTATCACTGAAAATAAAACAAAAACTACAAACAATTAATAACTCCCCAATTTTCCTCTTAACACTCCCCAATTAACCCCAGAAATCCCCAAAATGACCCAAGAACCATTACCATCACACCCGAACGCATACCTTTCCTGCCCTCTTCATCAACAGGGAAGGCAATGGCTCGGTTACCATCACTAGACACCTCAATGGTCTGGAAGGCGGCTATATCACCAGTTTGAAACGCCGCCATAATCTCCCTTCCTCCCTCACTCCTATAATTTTCTTAAAACTACAAATCCGAGTCAAGTCAATCCTGGCCGTTCACGATCCAGGCGCCTCCTACAGTGCGGCTCTACTGGTTCACTCACTGGTGGTGGAGTCGGTGGTTCGTTTTGGGGGGTTCGTATTGGATAGACTCATAGATATATAGATAAATAATTAAATAAATACATAGATTCTTTGGTAGATAGATATATAAATACATAAATTGATTAATTGATAGATAGATAAAAGTATTAGATTATGGATAGGTAGATAGATATATTAACCATAGTTATGCTTAGACAAATTAAAGTATAGATTGAAAGATATATAGATTAGCAGATGGATAAATATATAGATTAATGTATATTTTACCTGATTTTCTTATGAATTTACTGTGTCATTAAGGTAATTTTTATTTATTAATGATTACAAATGAGGTCTATAAATTCAAGGGCTCATTATCAAGGAATCAAACTGTCCTTGGGGCTTCGATACTCATACTAACGAAACATAAACAAATCCTTCAAAACAAGGTTGTTATGTTACGGATTACCACGAACATCACCGTTTAACTATATTTTACGGATATATCATTTTTAAAACTGATTTATACTAATTTAACCTAATATAACGTAAAAGATAATCACGTGGTAGATTTGGTTAGGGTAATATACTTAAGTTTTATTAATTTAACCTTGTAAATATATAGGCATATTGGATCCTGTTCGTTGAATAGTTTAACATTAAACTATCTCTGTTGTGATAACGAGGAATGCGCATTTATAATATAATATCAAATAAATACCAAAAGTACAATAATTTCGACTTTAGTTTATTTATTAATTACTATAAAATAATACATAATGTATATATAAATATTTGTTTAGTTATCTACGGTATTTAAATATATAATAAAGAACCGTTCGTCAAATCCCACCTCCCAAAGCTGGTACCAGACTGTCATACAATACATAGTAGATATGCACATACCGTATTTACATAGTTAATAAGGGGGGTTGAAAGGGTAGGGGGAATGGGGGATTGTTTGGAGGGAATAGATTAGTATGAGAAGAACCAAATGGAGGGATTATAGGGTAAGGGGATATTCATAATCCCACAGTAGGGATTATTTAATGAATATTGGGATAAACGTAGAGGTATTATTATTATTATTATTATTATTATTATTATTATTATCATTATTATTATTATTATTATTAAACGTTATGAGGGATGGATCGTAATAATTAACTACTATTACTACTACTACTACTACTACTACTAATAATAATAATAACAATAATAATAATAATAATAAGAAGAAGAAGAAGAAGAAGAAGAAGAAGAAGAAGAAGGGTATTAATAATCACTGCTACAGCAACAACAACAACTACAACAACAACAACAACGACAACAACAACAACAACAACAACAACATATAGGTCATGAAAACTATCATTATCCACTACACACGAAATCATTATCGCTGTGCCATGAATTAATCACCAACACTACCCAGGAAACATGTTATTAAGGTGCAATTAAAATGGGCGTGAACACTTAACCCTGGTAGGTCTATGAGGGCATGAAGTGTGTTAATTGGTCCCCATCTACTATGACGTCAGGTGGTGTATCTAACAATCCAATCACACACCAGGTACTGTGACGTCATGATAATCAACACCAATTAGGGCCCAGGTATTAGGTGACATCATGGTAAGCAAACACCAGCCTATAACAGGACAATAACTGACGTCATAATAACCAAAAACCAATCAGGGACGGGGAAATAGACGTCATGGAAGACAATAACCAATCAGCTACCACCATGCCCTAAAACACAGAAAGATCTCGCCTATATAACCTTCAACCAGCATTTAAAATCACATATTCACCTCTGTACACCCACCATACACAGTCATACACCCTGCCTGTGTATTTTCAAGTATTTATAAACCCCTAGGAGTGTATTTTAGAGGCGAGAAGTGTACACAGTGAGGAAGGAAGCGTCGAAATAAAGAAACTGTGTTGGTAAGACTTGTCACCATTGGTTTATGAGGTATGTGTTTTAATTATGTTTTAAGTTGATGTTTTATTGTATTATATGTCTCTTATAAAAAAAACACACACACACAAAATTAATGTCTCCAATACACACATAAACACACTATTAATGTCCCCTTTACACACACACTCACCACACCACACTCACTAACACACCGCACTCACTCACATTCACTCACTAACACACCACACTTACACACACTCACTCACTCACACACTCTCTCACACACCACATCTCTTCCCCAGCTTGACCATGGTATCTCAACCGATAACACTGATGATGATAATGACGGTGATGGTGGATTGTGCCAGACGAGACCAAGATGGATTCGAGAACTTCAAACATCGTGAGGGTAGATGGAGGGCAGATGGATGGAGGGCAGATGGATGGAGGGCAGATGGATGGAGGGCAGATGGATGGAGGGCAGATGGATGGAGGGCAGATGGATGGAGGGCAGATGGATGGAGGGCAGATGGATGGAAAGGCGATTTATCAAGTCTGGATGTTCCTTCAATACCTCTAGATCACAGCACTGGAACTAAGGTACATACATACATACATATATACATACATACATACATACATACATACATACATACATACTATTACTATATGGCTATACATACATGACCCATCTACATTTACAATTACTATTACATACTTTATTATTATTATTATTATTATTACTATTATTATTATTATTATTATTATATTATTATTATTATTATTATTATTACTATTATTATTATTATTATTATTATTATTATTATTATTATTATTATTATTATTATTATTATTATTACCTATTATTATTATTATTATTATTATTATTATTATTATTATTATTACATTTTCGCCCCCAAGCCCCGATGTGGGTCAGTGATCTGTGCCCGGGTGAGCTAATACCCGTAAAAACACAACAACACACACACACACACACACACATGCACGATGAAATAAATATATAATTATAATTGATCCTGTAGATAGATAGATAAATAGATAGACAGATAGAGACAGACAGACATAAAGATATTGAACATAACAGGTGCGTGTGGGTGTTACAGGTAGCCACACGTCACAGAAGGTTCATTGCCTGGCCACCAGAGTCCACCTTAACCATCACACCTGCCCTGAGTCTACCTGTCCTCTCCCACCATGACAGTTATCAAAGTAAGTCACTCTTGTATTAACCTAATTCACTGTATTAAGGGAAGACACTGTATTCCAGGTAAGAGTCTGTTGTATTAAGGTAAGTCACTGTTGTATTTACCTAAGAGTATTGTATTATAGGTAAAATCACTGTATTCAATATAAGTCACTGTTGTATTAAGCTAAAAGTATTGTATTCAAGGTAAAATTACTGTATTCAATATAAGTCACTGTTGTATTAAGCTAAAAGTATTGTATTCAAGGTAAGACCCTACTGTATTTTCATCTGACATGACAAAATACACCAGTGCAGGTTATAAATATACGCCAGGCGCTACTGATCGCTTACACTGGCGTTACTACCCCCTCCCCCTCCCCTACAGAGACAGCAATGTATATAGCTTTACCATTTACACTACAGCTGCCCAGAGGACCATTAAAGCTAACAGGTGTATCGGGGAAAGCTGAAGGACGTGATAGCTGGACTTCACTTGATAGCCAAAGACATTGGATTTTTGCTGTCATCCAAGAAGCTATATCTACGTGAGTATATTTTAGCTTTATGTGTTTGTGTTTATAGCTGAGTCGAATCTTAGCTGTCATCCCAAAAGCTATAATTATGCCAGTAAAATTTAGCTTTTGTTTTTGTATTTGTAGCTGAATCGAATCATAGCTGTCATCAAGAAAGCTATAATCATACCAGAATAACTTAGCCGCCTTTTATATTTATAGCTGCATCAAATCATAGCTGTCATCCCAAAAGCTATAATCATGCCAGTATAACCTAACCTAACCAAACCAAACCAAAACCTAACCAAACCAAAAAACCTAACCAAACCAAACCAAAACCTAACCAAACCAAACCTAACCAAACCTAACCAAACCAAACCAAACCCAACCAAACCAAACCAAACCAAAACCTAACCAAACCAAAACCTAACCAAACCAAAACCTAACCAAACCAAAACCTAACCAAACCTAACCAAACCAAACCAAACCAAAACCTAACCAAACCAGGGTGTCTAATCTTCAGGTGGTTAATTCCTCGTTCCTTTCACAATAGGACGGGACTACCAGCTCGACCTTGTGTCCTAAAGGTCATCTGTGAGGTCGCTTACATACCCCTCGATGACCTGGGCTTGTTAGGTCAAGTGGTCAATCTTATCTTCGCGTGAGTATGGTGAGAGAGAGAGAGAGAGAGAGAGAGAGATGATTGTGATTATCTATATATATATCTCTTGTTATTAATGTTATATCTATCTATCTATCTATCTATCTATCTATCTATCTATCAATCTATCTATCTATCTATCTATCTATCTATCTATCTATCTATCTATCTATCTATCTATCTATCCCCAGGGTCGGGTACGGGGAAGGCACGGCAGAAATGGTTGAGTTTCACCTGGCAGAAGAAAACGGACTTAGTGGGGGAGACTGCAGTAAACTCTACCCCCTCTGCCCCGTCTCTCTCGCTGGCCTCCTCCACGATTGCCTCTCGTACCTCCACGGTGGTTTAGTCAGTGCTGGAGGACAAGTTTGAGGCTTAATTGTAGTGTTGTGGCCTCCAAATCTGGCGTATTCTACCTCCACATAACAAGCTAGAGGTTGATTATAGCATCGTGGCCTCCAGAAATGGCGTATTCTTACCTCCGAACCAAACCTAACCTAACGCTACCCAAATCTAACCTAAAGCAAACCTAACCTAACTGAACGCTACCCTAAACAAACCTAACCTAACCAAATCCCTCCAAGGTGGCAAATATATTAGGGTGTTTAAATCATCAGGTGAAATAAACTGGAGTCTCTAATCTTCAGGTGATCTAATTATCTAACTGTACTGCCCAATTATATAATAAATATATTAATTTTGTGTCATTTTCTAACCATAATTAATTACTTTGGAATAATATAAAAAGTGGTGTTACATTAAGGACAAAATATATTATATTTGTGTATTCTCTTCGTCTTTATGCCGATGTATTAATATCACATCTACCAATTAAAACCCTCCTTTTAGTGGCTTTGACCAATAGAAATTCATTTTTATTAATATTATTGTTAAAAAAGGTGATATCGTAATAATATGATTGGTAAAATAAGCCAATATTTGCTTCAATAAGGAATTAACACAAAATATTTTAGTTATCGTTCAAATTAAATTATAGAAAACTTAATATATTATGGGTATAACTATGATAAATTAAAAAAAATAATAATAGCAATAAGGATAGACAGATGACTTAACCCCTTGAGTATGATGACTTAACCCCTTGAGTACGATGATTTAACCCCTTGAGTATGATGACTTAACCCCTTGAGTATGATGACTTAACCCCTTGAGTACGATGATTTAACCCCTTGAGTATGATGACTTAACCCCTTGAGTATGATGACTTAACCCCTTGAGTACGATGATTTATCCCATTGCGTACGATGACTTAACCCCTTGAGTATGATGACTTTACCCTTGAGTATGATGAATTAACCCCTTGAGTATGATGACTTAACCCTTGTGTATGATGACTTAACCCCTGAGTATGATGACTTAACCCTTGAGTATGATCACTTAACCCTTGAGTATAATGACTTAACCCTTGTGTATGATGACTTAGCCCCTTGAGTATGATGACTTAACCCCTTGAGTATGATGACTTAACCCCTTCAGTATGATGACTTAACCCCTTGAGTACTATAGTTTAACCCTTTGAGTTAAACTTAATGTCAGCAGCGTCAGCAAGAACATAATTACAATCAACAGCAAACGTCAGCAACAATTCTACTAAAACTCAACCCTAACGTCAGCTTTGATCTAACTCAACAACAAGTGTCAGCAATGAATAAAGACCCCAGAGGTAGTGTCAGCCTGTCTGGAACGGTAAATGTCAGCGAGGTGTGGAGGAGGAGGGAGCAAGTAGCGCGTTGCTCTGTTATGTGTGTCAGGGAACGGTCGTCAGCTTGGACTCTGGGGTAAATAGACTGTCAGCTTCACGTCATCTTGAGGTATTGAGTTATTTTGACTGACAACCATTGTTAGTCAGTCATTCAGTGGAAATAATTTACTGATTTTTTAGTTATTTTTTATGATAATAATAATAATAATAGTAATAATAATAATAATAATAGTAATAATAATAATAATAACAATAATAATAATAATAATAATAATAATAATAATAATAATAATAATAATAATAATAACAGTAATAATAATAATAATAACAATAATAACAATAATAATAATAATAATAATAATAATAATAATAATAATAATAATAATAACAGTAATAATAATAATAATAATAATAATAATAATAATAATAATATCAGTGTACGTAAGCATGTATATATATGAATGAGTTATAGACAAACAGACACAAAATATCCATACACACACACACACACATGTAAACGAGCATACGTACATGAGAAACCGTTCATGTGTGTGTGTGGACGGTGAGTGAGGGTGTGCGGTAGAGCATCTGTGTGGCAGTACACGATACACCTCCCTCCTGGCTGGTCACTCCGTCCGTGTGTGTGTTACAGTGACTTCTTGTATCTTACAGGTAAGTTACAGTAATGAGGGGGTGGTGTTATCTCTCTGTATCTCTGTGTGAGTGAGAGAAAGTGAGAGAGTTAGATACTGTTTGTAGAGATAGAGTGTGTGAGAGAGACACTACAGAGAGATAAAATGTGTATGTATGTATGTATGTAAGTATGTATGTATGTATGTATGTATGTATGTATGTATGTATGTATGTATGTATGTATGTATATGTGAAATACCTGTACCTGAATTACTGAAATAAACTAAAATACTGTAATAAACTAAAATAATAACAACAATAACAACCTCTCCTTCACAGCAACAATGAATAGAGTAGTGAAGATGTTGACGGTGTGGTGTGTGTGCGTCTGGGGAACCTCCTTGGCGGATATGTGTGACCGACGGGACAAACGGACAGACAGAGCGTGGAGAGGTGATGTGGGCGAACTGGAGGTCTTCCCAGGTGGTACTGTCAGGGATAGATTACAGGTAAGGTTAGGGTAGGGTAGGGTAGGGGAGGGTAGGGTAGGGTAGGGTAGGTGGGATGTTAGTAGGGTAGGTAGTGTAGGTTAGAATTGGTTAGGGTAGGGTAAGGTAGGTTAGGGTAGGGTAAGGTAGGTTAGGGTAGGTTTGGTAGGGTAGGGTAGGGTAGGTTTGGTTAGGGTAGGGTAGGTTAGGTTAGGGTAGGGTAGGTGGACTGTATTCGTCCACTCTGTAACAATCCTCCACTTCTCCACTGTAACCACATAACATCCACTATGTATCACTATGAACCCATTATTGTATCACTGTATTTCTCCCGATAGCTACATCATCGCGTCCGTCGGTTTCTAAGTTTCCCCACAGGATCCGTGCTGTCGGTCACACCTAAGTTGACTATTCCCTTCGTCAGCAAATTCGATGGATATATAAGTAAGTATGGTGATGGTACAACTACTACTACCACTACTACTACTACTACCACTACTACTACTACTAATAATAATAATAATAATAATAACAACAGCTTTTCCCGCCCTTTAACTGAATGTAAACAAACACCTTTTTTCACCTTTTTCAATCAGCTGGGAGTCAACTTTATGCCTTTCCAATCGACCTGAGGCTCCCTAACTCCACCCTACGCCTCAGGTCGAAGGATAGGGACGAGGAGACCATGTCCTACGCATCCTACGGGTCCTCTGATCATGCAGGATACGTCAGGAGGACTGGAAGGGCGTTGGATGATCAGAGGATAACAGGATTCGCTTTCTTACGGCAGTTAATGGATAAGTGAGTTGGGTTAGGGTGTGTGTGTGTGTGTGTGTGTGTGTGTGTGTGTATGTGTGTGTGTGTGTGGGTGTTGAGAGGAGAGAGAGAGAGAGTTTCTTTGCTCTGTCTCTCCTCTCTCTCACTCTCTCTCTATCTCTAATTCTGTAGGACGATACATTAAAGATAATTGTATATACATCAATAATGAAGAATATCTATCTATCTATCTATCTATCTATCTGTCTATCTATCTTCCGTATTCCCTACCTATATCCCCCCTCTCTCTCCTCCTCCCCCTCCCCCTCCCCACCCCCCACACCAACTAACCCCCACCATTACCCTCATCAGCGTGGGTTTAGACGGTCGACAGTGCCTACTCAGAGCGGTGTGTGAGGTAGGCGAAGAACCTGTGGCTGACCTGGGCATTACGGGAGAGCTCATTAACCTCTTCTTCAGGTAGGTCTTCCCGTCACACCTGTATGTATGTATGTATGTTTGTATGTATGTTTGTATGTATGTATGTGTGTGTGTGTGTGTGTGTGTGTGTGTGAGCATGTATGTATCTTTGCGTATGTATGGAGAGAGAGAGAGAGAGACAAACAAGAAAAAAGTTACACCACCCCCCCCTCTCACCCACCACCCCCCTCCCTCACCCCTTCCCTCACCCTCTCATCTCCCCCAACAGCGCAGGATATGGCAGTGGGACTCACGAACTGACTGAGTACATACAAGCAGAAGAAACAGGCAGACAAGTAGGAGGATGTGAGGACTTGTACTCTGGATGTCCTTACCGCTTAATGAGTCTATTGCAGTCTGCTTTCTCCTGCTTCCACCTGGGTCTGGCACACGTTGGGGACACCTCGGGGAGTCTGTTGGTGTCCTAGGTTCGCCAGGGTGAGTGGAGGTTCGCCAGGGTGAGTGGAGGTTCGCCAGGGTGAGTGTAGGTTCGCCAGGGTGAGTGTAGGTTCGCCAGGGTGAGTGTAGGTTCGCCAGTGTATCCAGTAAAGGGGTGTTATGGTGTGTGTGTGTGTGTGTGTGTGTGTGTGTGTGTGTGTGTGTGTGTGTGTGTGTGTGTGTGTGTGTGTGTGTGTGTGTGTGACAGAGACATAAAGACAGACAGACACACAGGGAGAGAGAGAGAGTAATAAACACACAGACAGACAGACACACACACACACAGACAGACAGACAGACATACAGGCAGACAGACAGACATACAGACCTACAGACAGACATACAGACAGACATACAGACAGACAGACAGACAGACACACAGACAGACAGACATACCAAATAAAATATCACCAAACTATATCCATATATAATCCTGTTAACCAAAGATATTTAATAATTGTAAATAAATAAAAAATAATAAAAAAATAAATAAAAATAATAATAATGTCTTTTATTAATCTTTATCAATGTTTATCTAATTAATTTCTAAATCTAAAACTACCTAATTTAAAACCGGTTCTGTACGAGTTAAGTTCTGGTTTGAGAGTTGAAGTACCTTAGTTATAGTGCCTTTGTTTGGTTAAATGATCTCTCTCTCTCTCTCTCACTCTAATTGATTTTCTCTCTATCTAATTGCCCCTCTCTCTCTCTCTAATTGCCCCTCCCCCCTCTCTCTCTCTCTAATTGCCCCTCCACCCTCTCTCTCTCTCTCTAATTGCCCCCTCTCTCTCTAATTGCCACTCTCTCTTTCTCTCTCTATAATTGCCCCCCTCTCTCTCTCTCTTTCTCTTTCACACATATTTCCTCGAGAGACGTAGAGTGAGGGGCGATATGATCCAAGCGTATAAATGGACGATAGATAGATAGAGGATAGTTAATAAAGAGAGAGAGAGAGAGAGAAAGATCATTGTCTATCTCTCACTCTCTCTAACTCTCTCTCTCCCTTTCTCCCCCACTCTCTCACCCCCCCTACAGCATCACGGGGAGTAGCCAATCACCATCAACTTCACCTCCCATCCTTAATTATGATTGGTGGAGGCTGGCATGTCAGATGGCTCCTGTATGGTGGAAATTTTTGGCGTATTAGAGCAAGATAATGATAGTGTGTGTGTGTGTGTGTGTGTGTGTGTGTGTGTGTGTGCGCGTGTGTGTGCGTGTGTGTGTGTGTGTGTGTGTGAATGTAGTGTGTGTGTGTGTGTGTGTCAGGTATTTCTCTTGCGTGTGTGGTGGTCAAGGGAAGATACACACACACACACACACACACACACACACACACACACACACACACACACAGGTATGCTATCAAGGAACCAGACCTTGAATTGTGGGTCTAGCTGTGTGGGTGGGTGGGTGGCAGGATGGATGGGTGGCAAACATGATAACAGGGTAGGTGGATGGGTGGCAGGCCGTGTGAACAGATGTATGTATGTATGTATGTATGTATGTATGTATGTATGACACAGAAAACCAGTCACTACCATCACCATAGTCATTCGCTATCCACATACATACATTACTAGAAGCAATGGTGCCAGTATTAGAAGCAATGGTGCCAATATTTGAAACAATGGTGCCAATATTTGTAGCAATGGTGCCAATATTTATAGCAATGGTGTCAGTCCTTGTTACAATAGGTGTTGGGTGTAAACGGGACAGTCCACTATGGTCCAATATGCCCTCTACAGTTTTCACCATTCTTATGACACAAATTTGATTCCAATGGTGAAATTTCTACCATAATTCCCACGCTTTTATAAACACGTTATGAGTGACAGTTATTGGGGTCACCATTGCACTACTTGACAACTCTACCTGTAATTTCTATCGTTGGACTATTTCCCTGGGAGAAATAATTGCTGCTATGATAAATCTTAAATAATTTCCATATGTATTTAGGTTAAATATTTATTTCCCGGGGAGATATTGTTGGAAATAAGCGCTAAATTCTTCCTTAACTCGTATATTTATTTCCGGGATAAGATAATGCTGGAAATAATTAATGAATAAATCCTTTTGATAATTTCAATGTTAAACTTCAATCTCTCAATCTATTTCCAACAGCGATTTATTGGGAAATAGTCAATAAACTTAACTATGACATAAAAACGCATTCAATCTCTATTTCCATCTTAATCTCCAAAGAAATTATGGGAAATAGATTATAAATTCACTACTTAAATAAATATTTCTCTATCTCTCAGGAAATAATAGAAATAAATACGAAATGTGTGTGTGTGTGTCTGTGTGTGTGTGTGTGTGTACCAGTCATAGTAGGTCATCAGGACGTTCACCACACGGAAGAGGAGGAGGAAGAGGAGGAAAAAGAAGAGGAAAGAGAAGGAAGAGGAGAAAGAAGAAGAAGAAAAAGGATAACAAGAATAAATCAATAACATTAATAACACACAAAAAACAACAACAACACCAAAACAAAAACAACAACAGGTAAACCAATCAGCTGACGACACACCTGTTGAGTTACCGTTACAGACTGACGTATTGAGGTAGACAGAGAGTTATGGCAACCTCCCCCTTCCCCCACCCTCCCCCCATCCCCCTCCCTTCCCCCTCCCTCCTCCCATTTCTCCCTTACCCCTTCCCCCCGCCAAAATAACTCACGCTATTCTCTTGTCTGTCAGTCTCACGTAGGTAGTGGTGGTGAGAGGGTAGATAGTCCCTCTGTCTACCTGTCTGTCTGTCTGTCTGTCTGTCTGTCTGAGGTCTAGTGTTGTGGTGTGTTTATTTGTTTATTTTATTTTTCCCGCCAAATTTATTGTTTTATTTTGGTTTTGTGTTGACGTTTGAGGTGTTCCTACTACTGCTGGTGCTACTGCTACTGCTGGTGCTACTGCTACTGTTGGTGCTACTGCTACTGCTGGTGCTACTGCTACTGCTACTGCTGGTGCTACTGCTACTTCTTCAGGTAGGTTTTGTGATTACTGTTACTTGTATTAAAGTTGCTATTACTCTTACTACTACCACCACCACCAGACCACCTCACTACCATTACTACCACCTCACCACTACCACCACCATCATCACCTCACCCCTTCACTGCTCAATTGCACCACCACCACCACTCACCACTACCACCACCACTACCACCACTACTACTATTACTACCACCACCACTACCACCACCACTATTTATAATACTATTTTGTTAGAAAGTTACTTAAAATAATCAAGACTTTACCTGTATTTACCACATAATTAAGTAGATTAATTAGCTTTTATATACCTTTCACTAAATTAGGTTAGAATGAAACCAAAAGACATATGGGCGGCCGTGGGCGTGATAGCGGGCATAGCGAACCCACCCCACCCATGCCCACTATACCTTCAAAAATTAACCCCTGATTTAACCAAACCTTAACCCACCCACAGAATGAAACCCATGACTGTATGGGCGACCGTGGGCGTGATAATAAGCATAACAACTTTAACCCACGTTACCCATGCCCGCCAGGCCTTCAAAGGAGACCCGGGGGAATTAGGTGACCCCGGCTTTGACCTCTCACGGTATGCAGTATCCCAAGAGGTCAAATCGAGAACCAAGCGTTATTACTTGACCTTCCCTTCATCCTCGACTTTAACCTTCAATAATAAGATTAAAATTCCTCTGTTTAGTAAATTCGACAGTAATATAAGTGAGTATTGGCTTTAACCACTGGTACATGTGATTGATGGTGATTAACCTTAGTTATTAATGTTATTGTTATTGATGATTATTAACCTTAGTTATTGTTCTGTGATTGATGTTATTGGTGGTGATTATTAACCAAGTTAATTTTTTTTCAGTTATTGAGAGAGTGTGGTGATATTATTTTCTCTCTCTCTCTTTCTTTTTCTCTCTCTCACATACACAAACAATCTTTCATACACACACACACACACACACACACACACACACACACACACACACACACACACACACACACACACACACACACAGACACACACACACACACACACACACACACACATCATGTAACTTACAGAGGAAATATTTCTCTCCTCCTCTCACTCTCTCTCTCTCTCACTATCTCCCCCCTCTCTCTCTCTCTCACTCTCCCCCTCTCTCAATCTCTCTCACTCTCTCTCACCTCTCATGTGTTACAGAGGGCGTGTTCAAGGGGTTTATCCGAGCCATCTACACACTACCGAGCGAAATCGTTAGTGTGGGCAGGAGTCAAATTGATCAAGATAGAGTTGTAACTTACAATTCCCTCGAGTCTGTCTTTACCAAGTGAGTGTGTGAGTGTGTGTGTGTGAGAGAGAGAGAGAGTGTGTGTGTGCGTGTGTGTGTGTGTGTGTGAGAGAGAGAGAGAGAGAGAGAGTGTGTGTGCGTGTGTGTGTGTGTGTGTGTGTGTGAGAGAGAGAGAGATAGAGTTACCATTTTCCTAACCATCAATATAACACAAATACTAATTAATCATCAATATTTCCTAAGTTAATATTCCCTTTAACTAATCAAAGAAAATAACTAACTCAACTCTCCCCATCCTAACTAATCTAAATACATAGCTAATCCACTAAATCCACTTAATCCACTAATCCACCCCCACAGCTTCGGGATTAACGGCAGGGAATGTCTACTGAAAGCCATTTGTAAAACAGCGGAGGACCCAGCAGACGATTTTGGCCTTGTGGGACAACTTCTTGGCCTCGTGCTGTCGTAAGTGAGAGAGTTTGTGTGTAGTAGTCTGGTTAAAGTCATCGTACTCAAGGGGTTAAAGTCATCGTACTCAAAGGGTTAAGTCATCATATTCATGGGGTTAAGTTTCATATTCAAAGGGTTAAGTCATCATACTCAAGGGGTTAAGTCATCATATTCAAGGGTTAAGGCATCATACTCAAGGGGTTAAATAATCATATTCAAATAACCCAATAACCATAACTACCACCATCCCCTATAACCACAACTACTACCATTCCCAACAACCACAACTACTACCATCTAACCTGACATAACCTAACCTGACGTAATGTAACCTAATCAAACTACCACCATCACCAATAACCACAACTACCACCATTCCCAATAACCACAACTACCACCATCTCCTACAGACCTACACACGGACTGAACACGTCGAAGGATGAGCTGCACGACCACTGTATTGCAGAGTCCTACGGTAGGGATATAGGGCACTGTGACCTAGCCTACTCCTCCTGCCCATTTAATCTGGGTCAGCTCCTAACTACAGGACTCTCTCTGCTTGAAGGATCTCTCTCTGGGTTCCCTCAAGCTTAGGATCACCGTAGGACTCTGAAGGATTCGTCTTGGTGGAGTTTTCCTTCAGGTTTTGAGTTTGTGTGTGTGTGGGGGTTGTCTGTTTTACACACACACACACACACACACAACAACACACACACACACACACACACACACACACACACACACACACACACACACACACACACACACACAAATCTACAAACACAATCAACTTTCTTCACATTAACTTCAAAACTGTGATAACTTAACAAACCAAAGATTAAAAAGAAAAAAATAATAAAAATTAAGAATAAGATTAAATAAAAAATAAGTATACCAATATTAAATAATTATGAATACATGGATAAGTTAGAACATACAGTATATGTTAGTAAATTATAATAAAATTTAATATATTAGAGTATTATTATCCTAAGAATTTTATGTACAAGTTATTAATAATTCAAGAAATATATAGCAAGTATGGGAGGTATTTTATTATTATTATTATTATTATTGTCACAAATTTTAAGCAATTACAACTTGGCTTTGATAATCTATTCTTTGGCCTTATTTTCCCATTATATGGTGTTGATTAGTGTTTTATTGATATTCCTATTAATCCCGCTTACCTTATTGATCACTCTTCGTCAAGGACACGGCAGACAGCCTCGTGTTGTAGTGATCATGGAAATAAATACATTAATGGATATTTGAGACTTGCCGCCTTATTACGTTATATACGGATTATGAGGAAAAGAAAATAATCTAAATATGTATTAGTTATGAGGATATTTTATAAAGAAATCTTACGTATTCTTCGATATTATATTATTAAATTTTAATGTAGTTGAAAAAAAGAAGGGCATATTACCGTCGTCTATAATATAATAGAAGGACAATTGACAAACTATGAACATGGTGTAATTAGTTTAACATTTCTTATGATGTCGCTGTTTATCAGGAATAAATACTTGTAATGTTATTAACTGTTTATTTTTTAATTATCAAGGCCTTAATGTCCTTGTACTCCTAAACTAGTTATTTCATAGACTTTTTAATTTAAATTAATTGTTCTTAATCTCAATATCAACCTAATAATATTATCAATGCAATTGTATTTTGAATATCTAATTTCATTCGAATACTTTTTCCTGGGAATCATATACAGTATTTTCTTTTTTAATAACTATTTATTTTCCGCTTTGGTTTTTATTTGTGATTGATTCCCAAATACACAAGAGGATTATTACTTTATATATATATATATATATATATATATATATATATATATATATATATATATATATATATATATATATATATATATATATATATATAATTCATTTACGCGCCCTGTCGTTAATAATTTTAATAAACAATTTGTTTTATTGTTCCATATTATTTTCATATTGTATTGTTATTTTAGTATATAATTTTTTTTTATTAAATTATTTACGAGTGCAGTCATTCATTAATTTCGTTATATCAAAGTTTCTGTATAATTCGCTATCATTTATACCATATTATCACCCCAAAACCATAATAAAACAATAATAAAATACTAATCTAATAAATTTTACAAGTTTTTAAAAAGTTTGAAAAAAATTAATACAAATTTGGCCATTGCGATTTTTTTAGTCAAGGAGAAGAACAACTGCAAGGAAAGCAAATTAATTATTCCACTTTTTTTTAGTTTTCTTATTTACTAGTGACTTTGGGGAGGTTTTCTACAACTGGCATAAAAAAGGAAGAACTAAAGTAGGTGTTGTTATAAATTAATAGTGTCTTTATATTATTTATGGAAGAAAAATATGGAACATCCGTTTTAACCTAGGCTGCCGGGACCAGTGCCAGATGTAGTTTTATGGGTCAGTAATAGTTTTGTACTTTATGTTCTTATTATATATCTTTATAACATTTTTAATTTTTTATGTAATTAAGTAACTACAAAGCTAAAATCCTGTTAGAATATATCAATGTTTTTTGATGATTACAGCGAGAAAAATAGGAAAAAAAACACGGGTTTGATATTATACCGTCGGCCATTTTGTCGTCCCACAGACTACAACAGACATACATAATATATATGTATTTATTTTTTTCGGATTACGGGATTATTATTAATTCCTATGCCATTTTTGACAGTTTATATTGAAGAAAACTACAAATCTAAAATTATTTTACAATATAATGTTTGTTTTTCCTAATTAAAGCGAGAAAATAAGAAAAATAAAATATCAATTGAATTTCGCTCAGACGCATCGAACTGATGACTATATTTTTCAGTTTTTACGAAATTTAGTGAATGATATTGGTGTTTTGAACTGTTTATATGACACAGGAACTAAAAACATAAAATTGTGTTAAAATACCGATGTTTATTGATAATTGAAGCGAGAAAATACGCAAAAATATCCCGGTGTTAGTATATAAGCGACCATCTTTCATCCCAGCGACTACAACTGCTATTTTATATTTTTGTTTTTCATGCATTAACTGTAAACTTTTGTACCATTTGGAGCTGCTGGTATTAAACAGGAACTAGAATCCCTAAATTACATTATAAAATAAACGTGTTTTTTGTACTTAAAGCGAAAAAAATAAGAAAAATAATACTGATTTTTATTGAACTTTCATCAGAGCTTCGACGTGAAATACAATACCTATTTTCTTTCATTCAGCTATATAAAATTAGTGAACTTTTATGCTGTTTTTCACCAATTTTATAAGACATACTGTAGTAACCTAACCTAACCAAACCCCCTAGATGGCATTAGGGAGTTAATCATCTATCATACGTCAACGTTACACATTTTATCATAGTTACCGTCACAAAACCCAACTAAAAGAAAATAGTTTTATATTTGGAATTTAAGGAGATACTACTTCATTTCTTAATTTATTCTTTACATACAACTAATCTGATTTTTTCTTTTTTTAGTGTAAATTGAAGAGATAGAGTTTGGTGTTTAAGGCGATATTAAAAGCTGATTTATATTTTGAAGTCTTTCTAGTTAACCATTAAAACTTGTCGGTAACTTTATCTGTTATCGTGGGTCAAATTGCCTTACTGTATACCGTTGTTTGTATACTTGTACTGTCTAGGTATATTGGACATTGTATACATATCTCCATGGTCTTTGTATACTTGCATCGGTTATATACATGCTTAAGTGTATACCTGTGTGACTATTATTATTATTATTATTATTATTATTATTATTATTATTATTATTATTATTATTGTTGTTGTTATTATTATTATTATTATTATTATTATTATTATTATTATTATTATTATTATTATTATTATTATTATTATTACTATTACTATTAATATTATTACATTTATTCTTATTTTATTGTTATTATTACCAATTTAAGTTATTTTCCAATCTATTCATCAGTTATCATTCCCTGTGTCAATAACTCAGAACTATGACTCCCCATTCCGTAATATGATCTAAACTAGTTAATAAAGAGGATAAATTTCAATACAAACACCAATTTAATTTGATCAATATTTTACTCATAGAAAATTCATAATATAAAACTTAAAAAAAATGTAACGTAACAATCATACTCAACGTTAATATATTTTTAACAACAATAGATGAGTGAATGATTATAATTATTTAACATGTAAAATAACACAATAATTAGGGAATGTTTATATATATACTGTATATACACATTATCGAGCTGAAGTAAAATGTTTATATATATATAATTATAAAAATATGAGGGTATGACAATATGAACGTTTGTAAATATGTGATTGGTGACGTAAATATGTGATTGATGGCGTAAATATGTGATTGACTTAGCTTATGTTACCGTTATTAGATGATTGACAACATAGATGATCAATAAGAGGTAACAGTAATGAAGGTGTGATTGACTTAGGACTGAGTGACTTAGGACTGAGTGACTTAGGAGTGACTTAAGAATGAGTGGCTTAAGAATGAGTGACTTAGAAGTGAGTGACTTAGGACTGAGTGACTTAGGAGTGAGTGACTTAAGAGTAAGTGACTCAGGGGTGAGTGACTTAGGAGTGAGTGACTTAAGAGTGAGTGACTCAGGGGTGAGTGACAAGCATCAGATACATGTTATGGCAGAGTCTTCCTTCTCGACGCTGTCCATTTCAGTCAAGCCATAAAGTCAGTGCCAGCACAAGCAGAAAAAAGCGTCAGGCGTTGCTCTTTCACCTCGTGTTGATATGTATAAGGGGGAAGGGGGTTGCTGTAGCCAGACGGACGTTCGCTTGCCTTGGCGCTTGTACTGGTCCGAGTCTCAGATCTTTCTTCTTCAAGGATGTGTAAGGTTCACTCCAGCTTGACGTGGGACCTGACTAAGGTGAGGAGGGAGGTGGCAGCCTTCCTAAGGGCTCTGGTAAGGGCTCGGGTAACAGCCCTCGTCGTCCACCACAGCAGCAGCACCAACACAGCAGCCGCCACCGCCAAGACAGCGGCCACGTCCAGTAAGAAGTACTGGTGTAGCGGCATGTTGGCGGCAGGTGAGCGCAGGTGAGGGGCGCCGCCGTGACGCAACACGTGTTCCGTCCAGTACACAGCTCGCTGGAGGGGAGGAGTCTCTTGGTCTCGTAGTAGTGTTGATGTTTGCTTCACTCGTCCTCGGTATTGGTCGTCCTCGACAACAGCTGTGATGGCCTCGTACAAATTGTCTTCTGTGAGAGTCTCCAGTGTCAGTTGACGACCCAGGCCGAGTGTCACTGCCTGGCGCACGTTGAGGTGCTGGTCACTCATGAGGGGCAGACCAACTATCGGCACGTTGTGGTACACAGCTTCCTGCAGTGACAGCAGTCCTCCGTGAGTGACGAAGGCGCGCACGCGCTCGTGACCCAGCACGTCCTGTTGGGGGAGCCAGGCGCTAGTGATGACGTTGGGTGGCAGGTCGGGGATGGCGGCGCCCTCCCACTTCCATAAGACACGGTATGGCAGACGAGCAAAAGCTGCCAGCACAGACTGCCTGAGCCAGAGCGGCAGTTGTTGACTGCGGATGGTGGAGCCCAGACTGAACACCACCACAGGTACTGTCGACGAGTCGAGGAAGTGACGCAGCTGAGCGTCTTGTAGTGGCCGAGCGGGCCGACAGTGCATGGCACCGACCTCCACCACGTTGGGCATGAGCGGCCGAGGGTGGCCGAGGGAGTAGTGAGAGTTGACCAAGACCAAGGACACGTTCTTCTCCACCTCCGTCAGGGACACCGTCGGGTCCCCCAGGAACCTCTGTACTACACCTTCCACTCTCTTCATCACCAGCTGACTGCGTAGATAGGGACTGATGATTCTGAGGAGGGAGAACAGCAGGTGTGAGACAGGTGTGTTGTGTGTTATATATATATAGTAGTATATATATATATATATATATATATATATATATATATATATATATATATATATATAAGACAGGTGTATGTGATACAGGCGTGTTATACAGGTGTGCAGTAAGTGTTAACTCACCTAACAAGGGTGTTGACGGTTCTCTCCCAAAGGTTCATGTTAGCACCATAACTGAGGTACTGGTTGGGCACGTAGGCTGGGTTCTCGGGATTGGCCAACAGGTCGGCCGTCCACGGTGTTAGACCTGAGGTGGTGATGTAGATGAAGGGGACCTTAAACTTGTGTACGAGTGCCAGTCCACACTCGTTCATGAAGGCTGGCAGGATCACCACGTCTGGCTTGGTGTGCCAGGCACTACGGACACCTGGATCACGCAGGAAGGCGTCACAGTACTCCGGCAGGTTACGGATAACCTTCTTCATCACCTCAGAGTTGATGTTCTTCCCGCCGCTGGCTTCCCGCATCTTGAACACGTCGAAGCTTCCCGTCACTTTACGGATGGTCTCCCAGGCCTCGCTGGCCACCAGGTCGGTGTAGTGGTGACTGGCGGGTCCTGCGTGTAGTGACGCTATCGTTACCTGGTGACCTACACGACCCAGCGACTCTGCCAGCGGCGTCACCAAGTTCTTGTGTGATGGTGAACCAAGAGGCAGCACCATCAGCACCCTCGACCCTTCACTCAGGACCACCAGCAGCGTCAGCCACACCACCAGGAGCTTCATCATGAACGCCTCACCAGTCATCATACTATAGACTGTAGCTCGTGTAGTCCTTCTTCAGGCAGGTCTTGGGTCTTCTCTCTCTTGCTTACCAAATTAATTTCTTGTAGTTGACAGGTAAGAAGCGTCTCAGGGATTGTCTGCCGCTGCACTTGGCACACCTCCTTATATACCTGAGCTGGGACGTATCTCGTGATTGGCTGGGTCAAGTGCCTGTGTCACACGTAAGCATGGCGCCCACGATGAGGGGTGGGGGGGGGTGAGGAGGGGCCAGGAGAGGAGGGAAGAGGTGGGTAACAAAGGGAGGGGTGAGGGGTGTTGGGAGGGAGGGATGGTGTGGGGGAGAGGTAGGCACGAAGGGGAGGGGTGAGGGGGGTTGAGGAGGGGCAGAAGGGGAGAGGTGATGTGGGGTGGGGAGGGGAATGGATAGAAGAGGAGGGGAGGGGTGAAGTTAAAGCCGTCTTAACGCATGGGCACGCTGGGCAGTTGGCCAGGGCCCCGTTAATAGAGCACACCACAACTAAATTAATGACGACGTCGATGATGGACCTAATGAAGTACAAGAGGTTGCTGGGCCTGTCAGTCCGCCACCGAATCTCAGAGGATAATCTAGATTTAAGATGTAAAAGAAAATGGAGAACCTTATATCCAATTAATTATATGTTTAATTTCATTGGAAGTTTTAGTTTTAATTTGAGTGGGTGGCTGGGAAAAGTGGTGGGACCTGATAACATCATATGGTCCACAAATAGGGTACTACCCAAACGCCAGCAAGTCCTCCCTTATTGTGAAGCCAGAACATTATGAACGGCCAATGGAGGTGTTCGGGGGAAGTGAGGTCAAAATAACAATTGACGGCCAAAGACATCTAGGCGCAGTAATTGGCACTACGGACTTCAAGACCGAGTACGTAGCGGGAAAGATGAATGAGTGGGTTAGTGAAATCCAAGCTCTGTCTGAGATTACTAACACAGAGCCACATGCGGCTTTTGCTGCATTCACCCATGGAGTCAAGCATCGCTGGAACTACCTGAGGCGCACTATCCCTCATATCGGACCCCTCCTCCACCCTCTGGAAGAAGCTATCAGCGTCAATTTCATTCCCAAATTAGTGAAACATCCTCACTTAACCCCAGCAGAAAGATCACTCCTTGCGCTACCACCGAGACTGGGAGGAATGGGATTGACCAATCCAGAGGAGATAGCTGGCAACAGGTGAGGTGGATACCAGCGAAGTAAACAAGATTCGACGGTCCATTACGACAGAACGACAGCACGGCCAAAGTGTTAAGTTACAGCAACTGTTGTTGCAGGTACCAGAGAATTTGAAAAAAAAGTAGCTATAGCGCAGGAGGTGGGCGCCTCGAACTGGTTAACTACGTTACCGATAAGGGCAAATGGTTTCAGTCTCAATAAACAAGAATTTACAGATGCCATTGCTCTAAGGTACGGTAGGCCAGTGGAAGGTTTGCCCTCCCAATGCGTGTGCGGCTCTTCCTTTGACGTCGACCACGCCATGGTGTGCAGGAAAGGGGGCTTCATATGCATGAGGCATGACGAAGTAAGAGATTAACAGCAAATATGTTGAAGGGAATCTGTCGTGATGTCAGAGTAGAACCGACCCTCCTTCCATTGGACGGTGAGAATTTCCAACATA